GAAAAAGTGGGGGAAAGGAAAGAAAGGAGACAGAATCAGTTGTCCTCATGCTATCTCCATCTTCATTGGGTCTTGTTGGGAAAGCTGAGTCTCTTCTTTATCAGAATAATGTTTTTTCCTCAAAAAAATTTTTTTTTGAGACAGAGTCTCATTGCAGTGCAGTGATGTGGTCTTGGTTCACTCCAACCTCCATCTCCCAGGTTCAAGTGATTCTCCTGCCTCAGCCTGCCGAGTAGCTGGGGCTACAGGCACCCACCACCATACATGGCTAATTTTTGTATTTTTAGTACAGGCACAGTTTCACCATGTTGGCCAGGCTGGTCTTGAACTCCTGACCTCAAATGATCCAAAGTGGTGGGCCTCCCCAAAGTGGCGGGATTACAGGCATGAGCCACGATGCCTGGCCTAAAAAAATTTTGAGTTATCGTTTTGGCTAAATGAGTAACTTATGGTAACCTGAGATTCTATTTTGTAATATCCAATGTTTTAAACCTTTGGTATTTAACAAATCTTTCAAAATCAAACTCTAAATTATCATGCTAAATCAGCCAACATTAAAATTGTTTAAATATACAATTTGAATGAACTCCATGGTCTCAGTCAAATTATCTATGATAACCCATTAGTTATCAGTGCTATGCACCTAAATTGGAAAACAACTGGTATTCAAGAGGACATATGTCTAATGTTAAGCATGGTCTCATGAAGAACCGGGACAGCTGCCTTGTCCTTCCTAAATCCTTAAAGCTTTTGCTGTTAAAGGTTCTTCATTCCATGACTGGTCATGGAAAATATAAAATAATCCAAATTGAATATATTGATGTGGTGACTTATAAATTGCGGAAATCGTTTAAAACCAATGTTTGGTTCGGGAGGACAATTAAAGCCTCAGGTACATTTGGCTACCTGATGGGCCATTTAAGCATTTATAAAGGAATTTCATTCAATTGTCATTTTCAATGCATGTTTTCTGGTGTATAAAAGCTTTTCCGTGCAAGAGGGCTGATGTTATAGCAGTAGATTATTATGCTACAGTGTATTTTACCAGGTAAAGAAAGTTTTTTATGGGTCACTGAGGACAATCCCTTCAGTCTAGAACCCGAAGACTTGATCTTCTGAGAACATCAGAGAAAGACCGTCCTTGCCATCCACACTACAGAAAAACTTTGGAGCCTGGAACCTTGGGTTTATAATCTCACAACTGAGAAGGGTCCCTCACACTCCTGGAACTGTACACCTCTTGGAACCCTTAAGGTAAAACTAATCAGGAAAGTTTCTCCCCAGAAGAAGATGGCATCCTTGATGTGAACAGCTTTTCTGAAAGATCACAGATCAAAACTTCTATTATCATGAGACTCTTATCTTTGAATATGTTTTCCTTGTTTATGCCTCTATGAACAATAGAAATGAAAAGGGGGTCCATTATGTGCTCTTATAGGGTATGCTTTTCTTTGTGAAGGATTTTGCAGCCAGCCTTATACATGAATAACTTTAATAGACAAAAGATGAGGGCCTAGTGTAGGTGAGAAACTTTAGTGATACATACGTTGCCTCAAAATCAGTCAAAACTCCTCTTAACCCACATCATGGATTAAAGAGAACATTGACAGGAGGCCTTCACTCTTCTAGAAGGACATCATTTGTTCGGTCCTTTTTCCATGGCTTAGAATAAAAGAGGCAATAATTAGAAATGTCTCCCTCATAATAGGCTCTACAGCAAATTCTACTTTAAAGTCTGTTGTTATACAACAGACTTTAAATTCTCTTGTGAAAGTTATGCTAAATAATAGAATTGGTTAAACAGAAAAGTACCTGTGCAGCTGCTGACATTTGTGGCCTATGGAGAAATGTATCAAGTGTAAATTATAAAAATTCAGTTGTAGGGGATTAACGAAAAAACCACTTAGTCAAGTGAGTAGACTCTAGCTAGTTCATTCTTTAATCTATTTAATTTTAGGTGGTTTGGTTTATGGGGACCCTGGGTAAGGAGCATACTCCAAACTCCTGGTATTATCCTCCTCATAGTCATACTAACAGTCTCCCTGGTGTGCTGTATTCTCTTAAAGGTTTTAAATGTTTGCATGCAGCCATCTCTAGAATGTCAGATGGTCTCTCTTCAACTGGAATGACAAAAGCTGAAAGAAATGTGCAACCATGAGGATACCATAATGTATGAATGACACGCTGAGACTGGAAACCTAAAACGATGGTAACTGAGAGTGGTGCTAAGGCCCTAAGTTTTGGTCACACTCTCACCTAAGTGAGAACCTGGCCAGAAAAGGGGAATTTTTTAAAACAAAATTATGGGAGGCCATTATTTTGGACTGAGCTCATGCACTAGGCCCTAACAAACCAAATGAAACTAAAATGGAGTCACTTGTGCTAAATGTGACATAATCAAACTAAGGCTTTAAGAAAACACATAGATCCTAGAAAAGATCAGGTTTTGTTTTTCTCCTGTAAATAGATGTTCCAACGTAAGGAGATACCCTCTGCTCAGTGCTTATTCTCTCCTTGCAAAACCCACTGTTCTACTGTTTCCCAGTGGGTTTCAAAACAATCTTAATGTTGGCTGATTTAGCATGATAATCTAGAGCTTGATTTTGAAAGGTTTGTTAAATACCAAAGGTTTAAAGTACATTTACAACACTGATAGTAACATCAATGACTAAGGTTTTGGTCAATCTCTCAAAATTGAGAAAATGACCAAAATGGGAGAATTGTTAAAGCAAACTAAATATGGCCTGAGAAGGACTCCGTACTTCCATATTTGAGACCTTGTGGATGAACTGTAACTTAGCTTAATAGTCAGACAAAATTGAAAACCTAACTTAATAGTACGCACCCATAACAATAGCCGAGTGTTGGTCAATCCCAACAGCCATACTTCAACCACTCATAGACTGTTGAGTGTTCAAACTGCGTTCAAATAAGGCAAACACGGAGCTATAACCAATCTCACTGTTTCTGTACCTCACTTCCGATTCCTGTATGTCACTTTAACTTTTTTGTGTATAAATTTGTTCTGACCAGGAGGCACTCCTGAAGTCTGTGAACCTGCTCTGATTCTGGGGGCTGCCTGACCTACGAATACTTCATTGCTCAATCAAGCTCCTTTAAATTTAATTCGGCTGAAGTTTTTCTTTTATTAGGGCAAACCTGACTCCCTCTATTCAAAGTCACCCTTCTGCTCACTAAGATAAATGCACATCTGATTGCCTCCTTCAGAGAGGCTAATCAGAAACTCAGAAGAATACAACCATTTGTCTCTTATTTACTTATGACCTGGAAGCCCCTTCCCTGCTTTGAGTTGCCCAGCCTTTCCAGACTGAATCAATGTTTATCTTACATATGTTAATGATGTCTCATGTGTCCCTAAATGTATAAAACCAAACTGTGCTCTGACTACTTTGGGCACATGTCGTCAGGACCTCCTCAGGTTGTGCCACAGGCACGCATCCTCAACCTTGGCAAAATAAACTTCCTAAATTAACTGAGACCT